TTGAAATATCAGTTGCTTGTAGGGTTCAGGGGATCTCGTAGTCGAGCAGTCTCGACTAGAGCTTTCTTACTTGTTAGATCTGTTCTTTCTTAAAGAATAAAGATATTTATTTTTTCTTCATACATAGCTGTACTATTGCTGCAAAGGCGCATTTCAAAGTTTGGCCGTAATTATTTTGGCCGCACAATTAAATGCGGCTTTTGTGGGTGACGCAGCCTTCACACAATTTCAAGCTTAAGGCCGCTATATATTAATGCTGTTTTTTAATAGCCGTCAAAAGGTAAAACTCTTTTCAGTCTTATTTAATTTGAGTGTAGCGACTACGTGCTCGGACTTGGAGATGAGTCGCTCTACGGTGTTTATCTAGTTGCTTGCCGGATTCAGACGCAAAAAGATCGACAACAGCATGTCTGCTAATTTGTTTGCATCGGTATGTTTATATTTTCACTCAAAATGTTTAATCAAATCATATTTTGCTTTTCATGCAGTTTCTAATTGCTTTGATTGCCAATTTGGCAAGCGCGGCAATAGTACCGCGACTTCAAGACAACTACGTTCAGCTGGAGCCCGTCAGTGACAACAAATATACGCTCAGGTACACGTACTTATACATATTACAAGTTATCTCTGTTTTCATCAAATATATTAAGTAGGTATAATAGATAGTTTAGTGACTTTTAATTTTCGCCTTGCTGTCCGTCCGTCTGTGCGCTGTCTGTTTTGAGCGAAAAGCATTTCGTTGTTATTGAACTAATCTGTCGACTAGATATATTTAATGGGGATCTAGGGGTCTAGAGGTATGATTAGGTCAGTGAGGTTTACTTGAGCCGTTCCGAATTGGGGAATGAGTGTCTATTGTTTAGGGTGAACCTTTATATATTTTGAGTGAATATGTGTAGATACTTGTTTCCGCATTCAACAGTTCAACGAAAATATTTATTTTAATAGAATCAATGAAGGTGGCGCTCTGCGTGAGGAGACCGTGGAACTGATCGCATCTGGAGAGCCGATAGTCAAGGGTCAGCTCACACAGCAGTATGCCTCGCCGTCCGGAACTTTGACCGTTATCTACGAAGCAGGCCTCAATGGCTATGTGGCCAAGTACAGTTTCGTGTCGACAACAGAAATACCACCTGTGGTTGCCCTCAGTCCAGGCGCGTTGAAGGCAGCATCTGGCTAACGAATCCTACTTAAATACTACAAAAGCCAGCTGGAAATATATTGTAAATAAATAATAAATTGTCGCTTAATATACGATTTGCCATTGAAGTGAGGATTGTATTCTTGCCCTGTTCACTTTCTGAATTCAAATTAAACATAATTTATTTTCTTTGCTGACCACCACGTCCACTGCGATTTCCCGATGCTTGTCGGTGTGCTGGGCTTTGCACTTCACGACGCATCTATGAAGAGTTGATGGCTTCGCCTCGGCAGCCTGAGTGCGGGCTGCTTTTGGAGCACCCCAACTGTACTGTGTGCACGCAATCAAGCGGCAAATCAACAATTTTCCATGGCAGTGAAGCGAACGGTTTGGCTTTGTGCGGGTGATTGACGCTTGTTGCATGCAACAACCGCTGTGGCAACAACTGCAGGCAGTCGATTTTAAGTGGTCGCAACGCAACCGCAACGCGAAAATACTTAGCGAATAGCCCCTCGGGTCGCACTTTCAACAGCCGGCGGCCCGAACGGCCAGGCAGGTGAAATGTTTGTTAAAAATCAACAGCTTGGTTAGGACTTTCTATCGCCGCCTCCCCAGCCCTGGCCCCTGGTCGTGCTGGTGGTGGTGCTGCTGCTGCTTCTGTGCGTGTGTCAATATGCGTGCAACAAGTTTGCCTTGGCGTATTTTTGTGGGTGCTCCACACTTTAAATTTATTACAACTCGATTACTTGTACTTACCACGTTTCTTTCCAGATGCCAGATATCGATCAGGGTGCACCGTAGGCCGTGCCACAGGCCGCTGTCGCTGCCGCTGCCGGTGACGGTGACGGTGACGGTGCCTGACTCGCATGGCCATCGATCGCCCACAACAAGACTTCTCTTGGACTCTGGCACCGCATGTAAATTAGCATATCGTGCGCGTAATCTGGCCAACGGGAGGCTCCACTTCGCATCCTGCTGTTGCGGCATGTGAAGGCGTCATCGAAATCGGAATCGCACTCACCGTCACAGTCACGCAATGGGCCGAAACCGAAGCCGAAGCCGAAGCCAGAGCTGTAGTCAAGCACTGACCACTGTGTGGGCAGCTGTGCTCCAGCTCCTGCTCTGGTCTGGACTGGACTGGGTTGGACTGTTTGTGCGTGCTGCTTTCTGGCTTAATGACATTTTATCTCTGACGATGGCTGCCAAAATTATACATACGCCGCGTTGCCTGTGCAAAGTGTTTGTTATGCAAGCATAAAACGGCTGCAAATGCTTGTTTTGTTTCCAGTTCAGAATTTTTATGCAATTGGCAGCGGAAATTGCTTTGCACATTGCTTTTTATGACATTTTAATATGCAAAAGTTTTAGGACAAAGCCAAATACCTTTCGTCCTGCAACGGGCTGCGGCCGCCGCTCACTTGTCTATGCATGCTGCCTGCCAAGTTTTATTTTCTGTTTTTTTGCGAGCTTGTGGCCAATGACTGGCGACTGGTGAATGGAGACTAGTGGCTAGTGGCTGGTCAAGGAACCCAGAGCGAGCATTAAGTCACACCATCAAAACGCATTTAATTCAGTTTTTATTGAGTTGGCAAATCCAATTAGCAGCAAGTTTTGGCCATTTTAAAGACAAACTCAACGAGCAGCCAATCCCAAACTCTGTGCCCAGTAACAGAAACAGAGACACTTGAAGACAAACTCTCACACGTTGCTTATATTCCCGGAGCGTCGTCGGCTCGCTTTAGCACTTGCCCGCAATATGCCATTAGAGCGCATGAACTTTAGCCCTGCTGCGGCTGCTGCTGCTGCTGCAATTTCTGCTACGGCTGTGGTTTCATCCGCATCCGCATTCGCATTCGCATCCGCACGGGCGACACGTTGAATCCGCATTGTTAACTGTTGACTTTTCTTAAACTTTTGCCAGTGTCTCCGGCACTTGCGAGCGGGCGGGCAGCGCATAAAAAATGTATACCAAATCCCTGCACTGCAGCTGCAGCATTACGTGGTTAGCGAATTTATTATGCAGTGCCAGTGGCATAGCCTCAGCCACTACCAGCAGCTGTGGTGGCAGTGGCAGTGGCAGCAGACAGCCAGCAGCAGCAGCAGCAGCCACCGCCACAACCGCCAACGCTGCATTTGTGTGTGGGCCATTCCCAGCAGCGGAATGGAGCAACTGCCCAAGGAGCGACTGCCGCTCACAGCTGCTGTTAGCTGCTTTATCAACTAATTGACTTTTAACAAACAAATCGTGCAAGAAATCATATTGAACCGGGCGCAATTCATTAGCTGTAAGGCTGTGAGACGCTCAAGTGCACATGGAAATGTTCCCAAGAACGAGGAATACCTGAATACCTCATACTCTGTCTTTGTACTTTTAGAAACGTTGTTTAATCTTTTTAAACCGAGTCCTGGAGCTGCTTTACCTCTGGATGGGACTATCGAAAGTATCGATTGACAAGACAATATATCGGCTGGGTATAAAAAAAAATGCACCTAATTAAAAAATTAATATGAACAAATATGTAAAAACAATTTAACTATGGATGAATGGCTGAGGGTGAATTAGTGATGATAAATAATAAACTTATAAATTAATTTCGATCACTAACTAGAGAGTTCTCTGATTAGTGTTTCTATTGAAATACGCTTGCCATTATCGATGGACGAAACGATCGAGTTTCGCATCTAACAAATCCAACTTTTTTATTTGCCCAACCTAGGGGAAAATTAAAAGAAAAGTTGTTTACAGACTTCGCCTTAATCTAGAGTGATTGAACCAAAAAACACTTGATATTCATTTTTTTATTTTTTGCAGTGTGACTCCAAACTATTATATGAATCATAAGTCAACGAGCCGCAAACTGACTGAATTAGTTTACGTGATCCCATAGAGTAGAGAATGCGTAGGAAACAAAGGAGAAAGAAAATTTAAAGAGCGCGCACACATGGAACACGGACTCGGACTTGGTCCTGCACTGACTCGAACGCACTTGCTTAAAAATTCTATTTCTTAGACGTGCTCGCTGCCTCGTTGGCATCCCAGTGCCTCTGGGTGTGACTGCGGCTCCCGGCCGGCTGCGGACTACGTCTATACATGTGTAGCAATATCTGTTTGTATATACATATGTATGTATGCTCCACATATACATACACATATGCATACATATGTATGTGTATGTAGGTAGGTACGGATGCAGTTGGCCCGGGTCTGACTCTGTCTTGGCTGCCGCTGTGCAAATTTAAGTGTTTTGTACGTGCGCCAACAGCAATTGGCAAATTCAAAGGCGTGTTAGCATGCCATCAGCAGTCGAAGGGCGTAAGGCGTAGGGCGTGTGGCGAGAAGCGCGGGGCTTGAGGCGGTCGCGCTGAGTCTCTGGGCGAGCTGCATACCCAGGAGGGTGTTTGCGGGCGAATTATCCTTTCAATTTGACTTGGCATATGTATGTGGCTCCAGTTGCTTATATGCGTGTGTGTGTGAGTGTGAGTGTGAGTGTGTGCTAGGCGAAATCACATTTTAAATTTGAAATGTCTTGAGATTCTCTTTTGCCAATTCGCATGTCCTTTGCCATATTGACGTATGCCTTGCGCCCAGTTCCGTTTGCTGCTACTTTCGTATGCGCTGGGGCAAATATCGCAATTGATTTATATTGAAAAGTCTTGGTTCGTCTGTGTCCGGGGCAGTGTCTTGGCCACTTCCTGAACTGTGGATTGTGAACTCTGGGCTATGGGCTCTGGGCTATGTGTTGTGTGCTGTGTGCTGTGTGTTATAGCTGTGGCTTTTAACTTTGAGGCCTTCGAGCTTAGACAGAGCGGAAGTCACATCAATTGCCCTGGCAGAGGCTGATATGGGTCGTCTGCTGTGTAGGAGCTAACATGTCTGCAGCATCTGCTAATGCCGCAAATTGCGGCAAACGAGTTCTGCGGCGAGGCAACCTCGGCACCACAGCACCACAACACCGCAGCACCGCAGCACTGGCTGCAACATTTAATGATGATTTCATGTAGGTGCCGCCAATAAACTCAATGCTTAAATATTGCATTATTAATGCTACATCGGCGACAATTCTGCAGACGCTCGCCCATTCGATTCATAATTAGTTGGCTGTGCCACAGCCTGTCTGCGGCTGCCAACAGGTTGCAGCTGCTCACTCGCCGCAGCGTTGTCACGTTCAGCCGGAGCCAGATTGACGACTGGCTAAACGTTTTATAGCCGCAAAGTACCGTTGCAAATGCCACTCCGACTCCGACTCCGACGCCGACTGCGAACAAGCCCTGCAGGCTGCAACGCAGCATCACAACTTGGAAACTTTATGCAAAATACTATTTGGCTTTGATGGATGGCAAATGGAAACGAAACAACTGGCATTGGGCCACAGCTAGTCCATTGCCAGGGTCTTAAATATGAAATGTTGACCTGAAGTGTGGGCCTATCAGAAAGATGTGCACCCCCTTCCAAATTTACTTAATAATAAATTAACTCAGATACGTTTCAAACAGATTGGGAAAGAGATCGATTGTGATAGATAGATGATAGAAAATTAACTGAACTCATTATTCTAACAAAACATTCCATTCTTAACCGATTGAGGCATATTCAAGAAAAATTATGTTTATATGATAATTTCCTGCAAAAATAGGCTCAACCTTGAGTTGACATGGAACAGGCATTTCATGATCTATATGTTCTTCTTAAGAACCTAAAAGCCTTCTAAGGTACAATACTAAATATTCTCTTTAATTCTTTTACTTGCACTCTTTATAAATGCCTCTTCCATTTTATTCTGACATGATTGTATATAAAAAGATTTTTATATAGTGCTTATAATGATTTATACTTAAATATTATAAGGTCAAGAAATTTTTAATACAGATAATATCACAATTGTGACTTGATAATTCCATTTCGAATTGTAGTATTATGCAACCTTACCGAAATTATTTTACATTGCTCAAAATTGACGAATTTTGAAGGTATGTATACCTTAATAATATAATATATTATATAATTCAGTATATAATATAATAATATATATATAATATAATAATATAATATAATAATATAATATATTATATAATTCAGTATATAAATTTTTTGAAATACTTTGAAGTTGATTTCTATGCCTC